TCTCCTGTTTTCTATCTTAGAAGCCAGCCAATCCTTTTAGAGATGGAGGTATCAATGGGGAGACTATCTCATAGATTAGCTATGGTGATAAATGATATTATTAGACTATCAGATGAGCTCAAAGCCTGACACCTTTCATCCCCCAATAAGCATCATGTGGTCCTGCTGTCTATTAGCATGTGACCCAGTGCCTGCAACATACTGGTGTGTAATTAGTGTTGAATTGAACTGACGTGAAACAGAGACGTGATCCTGCTCTGGTCTTAGAAAGGGCGTGCGAGAGGATTCCGTGAACAACTTATTGTTGAGGAAGTAAGAATGGCCTGTTTAATAAAAAGCCAGGAGATCACAGAATTGCAGGATGAGAGCTGAGTTTCCCTGCTGGGGTGTTGTGAACACAGAGGGGAGTCATCTGCACCCTCTCTTCACCCCATGTGCTAGACACACTGTATGTCTATAAATACATCATCTCTTATTACAATAGCTTTCACAGACTACCATTGATTGAAATAGCCTCTTTTCAGAACAGTTGCTTTTGAAAAAAAAATATGAATGCTAGAGTTTCAGAATAAATAACACTGCGTTTTATTCCATTTGGTTCAATCCATCATTCCAATTAATTTGCATCTCTTCCAAACTTGATTCAGCAGTTTATATCATCTGTCCTCACTAGGTTATTATTGTCTGCAATTTCATGAGCACAACTTCAGTTTTGTTCTCTTAAACACTATATAGGTCACTTCTAAGAGCAAAGTCCCCTGACATGTCACTAGAGACCTCTCTGTGTGATGGCATTGATTCATTAAACAATCTTTTCTTTTCTTCTGGGTTATAGCTTTGTAAACTTCTTCTCAGTCTGTCAAAGTTTGCAGTGATCCATGTTGTAGTTCATCTTGTTCACAAAATGTCAGGGAAAACTTAGCCAAAACTCTCTCTCCACAGCGTCCTCTTCCACAGATACAGTAAATCTATTAGCAAAGGAATTGCCACCGTTTTCTTACAGTCTGTCCCTGGCTGGCCTATGTTGAGCATCCCTAAATCAAATGAATTCCTTTTCTGAGATTCACAATCTATGGCACTGAAGTTTATTAAATAGATGTGGGCTGGGCTCACACACAAGACTTGAACACGTAGGTGAGACATTTGGGCACAATGCTAAGGACAGGGGGAAGTTGTTGAAATATTTGAATGGACATTGTATGACAAAGTCATGAGGTGTGTGTGTGTGTGTGTGTCTGTCTGTCTGTCTAATGTGTGTTTTTATGTTGGTGTATGCACATGTGCATATATATGTACGGAGTCTGTAAGAAGACAGTGGGTTCTTTCCTTATTTGCTTTCCACCTTATTTTTGGGACAGGCTCTTTTATGGTATCTGAAGCTCTCAAATTAGTCTAGGCTGTCTTGCCAGTGAACACTAAGGATCTACCTCTTTCTGCTTCCTCAGAGTTGGGATAGATAGCAGATGCATACTGGGGATTTGAACTCAGGTCTTCATGTTTGTGCTGAAAAGCATTCTGCAGCTAATCCAATCCACAATGTTCCAAGTTATGATTTAAGAAAGTCACCTGGAAGCAGTGTCTATAGCATCCTCGCGGAGGGCACCATGTGAGCTCAGAAGTCCTGCAGGAGTTACAAGGTGAGACCTCTCTGGTATAGGCTAGTTGTGATAAAGACATAAGAATACAATTGGACTTAGAAGAAAAAAAAAGTCCAAAGGACTTACTGAGGAAAGATGATAGGACTTAAAAATAAATAAATAAATAAATAAATAAATAAATAAATAAATAAAAATAGGCACTTTAAGGCTTTTCAACCATTCCCACATAATCAAGCACACATAAAATAATATTGCTTTGACCCTGGAGTAAATAGTCTTTCTTGAGAATGCATGAGATTCACTGGGCCTCCAGGGATGTTTTCTCTCTCCAAGGCTCTCTGAGTGTCTGGGAGGCCATTTGGAGACAGCCTTAGCACCACGAGGTAAACAGATCTGCAGCAAGATCAGTAGTTTATTGAAGAGCAAGCAGTCTCTACCTTAGGACAGCTTGTGATTTTTCAACTTTGTGAGGACCTGAAAGTGATGTTTCATTCATCATTCAAAAAAAGCCATGCTTCATTTTATTTTACTTATCTTCTTTATGTGTGCAGGTGTGTGTGTGTGTGCGTGTGTGTCTTCTCTATGTGTGCAGTTGTGTGTGTATCTTCTCTATGTGTGCATGTGTGTGTATATCTTCTCTATGAGTGCAGATGTGTGTGTGTGTGTGTGTGTGTGTGTGTGTGTGTGTGTAGCTATGTTTTCATTTGAGACTGGTGGTATATCGTAGGTCAAGAGTGGCCAATACATTTTCAAGTTATGATGGGCTTATTAGGTCATAATCCCATCAGAGGTTATGGTGCATCTATACACATAAAGGAAAGAAAGCATTGGGTTAAATGCTTAATTCTGAATCTAGAAACAAAATAGCTTGGGGATAAAAACGAAAATAGCTAGCACCAGAGTTAACACCAGAAAAAAAATCCTGCAATTGCCAAACAAGATCATCTAGGACACAAAATCAATACCCATGTTATAAATGATGAAAAGGCAGGGCGGTGCAGACCTAATTTGTCAGTGGGAGTAGAGTGAGCTGCTCTGTGGGATGAGCTAGAGGAAGGAACCAACCACCCTTAAGTGAGGCAAAATCAGGGACTAAGATGTAATAGTATAGGAGTCCATGCCTGTTGGCTAAGGTTTCTGTCCCGTCCAGTTCCACAGTCCTTCAGTCCCAAAGAAACACACAGAGGTCTACATTAATCATAAACTGATTGGCCTATTAGCTCAGGCTTCTTATTAACTCTTTCTTACATCTTATATTAGCTCATTATTCTTGTCTGTGTTAGCCACATGGCTTGGTACCTTTCATCAGCAAGGCATTCTCATCTTGCTTCCTCTCTGTCTCGGTGACGACTGCAGTGTAACAACATGAAGGGCTGGCTTGCTTGTTAGGGTTTCTGTCCTGCCCAGTTCCCACAGCTGTTTAGTCCCAAAGAAAATCACACGGATATCTCTATAAGTTATAAAACTGATTGGCCCATTAGCTCAGGCTACATATTAGCTCTTGTAGCTTATATTAACCCATTTTTCTTATTTAAGCTAGCCATATAGTTCAGTACCTTTCTCAGCAGGGCAGCTCACATCTTGCGTCTTTGGAGTCTGGGCAGGAGTGGGAGGAATCAACTTCTTCCTTCCCAGAATTCTGTTCTCATTGCATCATTTCTACTTCCTGTCTGGTTTTCCCACCTATACTTCCTGCCTGGCCAATCAGCGTTTATTTAAAACATGATTGACAGAATACAGACAATTCTCCTGCATTGCAGATTGTGTCTTTCTTCTTCCCAGAATTCTCCTGTTCTCGTTGCCCTGCCTCTACTTTCTGCCTGGCTACTGGCCAATCAGCATTTTATTAAAGTGACAAGTGACAGTATAAAAGACCATTGTCCCACAGCATGTGCCTGTGTGTTTGGAAGTGAAGTTAGTCTGTGGCTACACTGCTTCTCACTCACATCTGGAACTTCATAAACTAGTCTCATGGGTTGGTACCTCTCCTGGATCACCCTAACTACATGAAAGAAACCATAGACTGTAAAGATAGCTTATTTCCTCGTGACAACTGAAGATGATCAGTTATTCAAAAATTAAAATTATTTCTTTCCCCCCTTTAAATTCATTGGTACCATGACAACAAAAACCCAACAACAAAACTGTATGGATTCTACATAAAATCATAGATGAAGGCCTCTGCCACAAGGCAGATGAGCCCACCCATCTTTCATGGCAACTGACTGCAGGTCTGCCATGTATGATCCACGGAATGCACACACGGCAACTGACTGCAGGTCTGTCATGTATGACCCAGGGAATGCACACACAGCAACTGACAGAAGCTCTGTCATATATGATCCAGGGAATACATACACAGCAACTGACTGCAGGTCTGTCATGTATGACCCAGGGAATGCACACACAGCAACTGACAGAAGCTCTGTCATATATGATCCAGGGAATACATACACAGCAACTGACTGCAGGTCTGTCATGTATGACCCAGGGAATGCACACACAGCAACTGACTGCAGGTCTGTCATGTATGACCCAGGGAATGCACACACAGCAACTGACAGAAGCTCTGTCATATATGATCCAGGGAATGCACACACGGCAACTGATTGCAGGTCTGTCATATGTGATCCAGGGAATGCACACACAGCAACTGATTGCAGGTCTGTCATGTATGATCCAGGGACTGTACATACGGCACACTTTCCACAGCAGAGTCATGATGATGGCTTTCCCATCATGGGTGGCATAGTCTTTGTGACCCCAATGGCTGCTCACAGAGAGACCTATCTCTTTCGTCCCAGACTGTCATCTTAGTCCAGCGGTGCAACCCTGCCTTGACACAAGCAGTTGTTGCCAGCCCAACCACACGCCCTTCTCCAAGCAAGTAGTGTCTGTATTCCTTCATCACAACATAATGTTCTAAATCAGAGATTCATAGATCTCTGAACAATTCCCCAGTGAACTTCAGGTACGACTCAGCACAACCGACTAGCTCATTAGCTAAAGGCACTCTCTCTCCTTATACTCTTTCCTAATACTCTGTGCTGATCTCAAGATTATGTTTGTTATTATAGCTGAGTAAAACAAACAAAGCAACCCCACAACCATGTGACCCAAGAAAGCCAGAAATTTCACAGCTCTTGATACGGGAGCGATGGGGTTTTGAAGGGTGCTCTGACCATTGCAGGTCCTAATTTAATACTGAGTGAAAGGGAAGTGAATTAAATGATTACAGTCATTTCATTTTCAACATCTGTTTTGGGAAGTATTTTTCCATTGTATGCTATGCTGGTATTGGTTTGCAGTTGTTTAACCGTTTCTGAGATGATTCAGAGAAGATTGGGAGAGGTGATGGATGGTGGTTGATGGTGGCTGAGTCCTTCCTTCATCTCTGTGCAGGTGGGGAAATGGAAAGACAAGTCCCTGCAGATGAAATATTATGTGTGGCCTCGAATGTGCCCCGAAACCGAAGAGCAGGAGGATGACCATCTGAGCATTGTGACCTTGGAGGAGGCGCCGTTTGTCATTGTGGAAAGTGTGGACCCTCTCAGTGGAACCTGCATGAGGAACACAGTCCCGTGCCAGAAGCGCATCATCTCTGAGTATGGCACCTCCCCAGATGGATGGTTATGGGTGGCCCGGGAGAGAGTTAGCTGTGCTGTTTGCTGACATGGAGTTAGGCACCCTGGAAAATTCTCAGCTGCCAAGAAGCTGTAGAATCAGTAGGAGCTTTGGTTAGACATGTGGCTCTATCTAAAACCTTGACCTGAGACAATGACTGTTCTGTTAAGGTTCCTTTGACCTTGCCCAGACTCAGTGACTGGGAGCTCGTCTACTGACTTTAAAGTTTCTTTGAGTGTAGAAATACGTTCTCTCAAAGCTGGCCTTTTGAGAATTAGATCTATTTTTTTTTAAAACAATTCCACTTGGTTTATGCTGTCAAAAGTTGGGGTTACAATGCCCTTAGATGTGGGGGGAGGCAAGCATCTTGAGGGGACAAATGCAGAGTCTCGCAGCATCTGGTAGGCATTTGTACCTGAATTTAGGCTTTTATAAAAACAGTGAACTCAATGAGGAATTCATTAAGCTGAGCCAGTAGGATACATGCCTTTCCTTCATCTATGTTATACTTCAAAGGAACCTTGAAACTTGTGCCACGGTATGGCTCAGGATACTGAGACAATAAAAAGTACCACAGCTCTAGGTCTGATCCCTTTCCTTACTCAAGAATAAACTGTACTGTGGGGGTGGAGGTGGAGGCTGGAGCTTTAATGAAAAAGTAATTTCTCCTTCTTGCACCAAGTCTTGCTTTGTTTGTTTGTTTCTTCCTGTAACCGGGTAGGAATAAAACAGATGAAGAGCCAGGCTACATCAAAAAATGCTGCAAGGGCTTCTGTATTGACATCCTGAAGAAAATTTCTAAGTCTGTGAAGTTCACCTATGACCTTTACCTGGTGACCAATGGCAAGCATGGGAAGAAGATCAACGGGACCTGGAATGGCATGATTGGTGAGGTCGGTATCAGGACGCAAGGTCATGACAAGGTCATTTCCATTGTGCACATACGTTTTGCTTAAATATTGTAAAAAGTTTATCTTAAGAATTTAACACCATGTGAAATGGTAATGAGAGAGAAGGAGATATAGTTCAGCCGGTAATGTGCTAACCTCATAATCATGAGGACCCGAGCTTGATCCCCAGAACCAAAATAAAATTTCAAGGACAACGATGTGTGTTTTATAATCCCAGTGCTGGGAAGGATTTCTGGGGCTGGTGGCCACCCAGTCCAGCCAAATTGGTGAGCTCTGGGCCAACAACATACCCACAGAGGAGGTGAATGGTATTCTGGGGATGGTGCCCAAGTTACTGCTGAGCCATGGAAATTCTGCTTATGGTAGACCTGCCTTCACTAACATTCTAATCGGAGCATTGTGCCTTTTTCTTCAGGTGGTCATGAAGAGGGCCTACATGGCAGTGGGGTCACTAACTATCAATGAAGAGCGATCAGAGGTGGTCGATTTCTCTGTGCCCTTCATAGAGACCGGCATCAGTGTCATGGTATCACGCAGCAATGGGACCGTGTCACCTTCTGCCTTCTTAGGTAAATCACATGCTTATTGATGACAGAAAAGGAACTCAAGGACAAGCGGCTGGGATGAGAAACAATGTCAGGACATGGTTTGTTGAGTTAATTCAGATGGGGAATTCTTTTGGGGTACTTTGTTATTCTTAAACTCAAAAAATTAAAAACATCTAGAAATCAGGGAGATGTGTTACCCTACAAGAAAACACTATGAGAACGGTCGTCACAAGTCCCATATAGTCCCCTTTTTATCACTTAGTGCTTATTTGACCTTGAGAAAATTTGTTCATCCTGGGGCTCCTTTTTCCTCATCCACAGAATAGGGCATCTCAATTAGTTGACCTCTAAGATGTCATTCTGCAATTATTTCTAAGTCTAGGTATCTTCTGTATTAGCTACTAGTCTATTGGTGTGGAAAGATCTCATGACCAAGGCTACTCATGTGAAAGAAAGTCTTTCATTGAGGTCTTGCTTAGAAACCCGGAGAGTCAGTCCATTATCATCATGGCAGGAAACAGACAGGCATGACGCTGGAGCAACAGCTGAGAGCTTTACATCCTGATCCATAGGTAAGAGGTGTTGAAAAAGAGAGAAACTGGGCCTGGAATGGACTTTTGAAACTTCAAAGCCCACCCCTAGTGACAGGCCTCCTCCAACAAGGCCACATCTCTTAATCCTTTTCAAACAGTTTATCAACTGGGGACAAAGCCGGAAATACATGGGGCCATTTTCATTCATATCACAGCCTCATTGAAAGACCTATTTATTTTTTAATTATCTTAAGAATTGAGCTTAGGGCTAACATTCCTATAAACACACAAACATTTTCTGTTGTCGTGTGAGTTTTTTGAGACTTTCCTAGCCAGAGCTCAGCTGATGCTTCTTCCTACCCCCTTTCTCACCTTCTTCTCCAATCCCATTCTCTGCTTGCCCACTCTCTAGCACCTCTCAGATGTAAAAAGCTTTAGATATGATTTCAGAATGGGTGAGGTAAGGCAACAACTTCAATTAAACGAGGTCTTTTGTGAGCTCATAATATATATCTATATATATATATTTATATATATAATTTTATATATAATCATATATATAATCAAATATATAATTGAGCCAGGGTTTAGAAATAGAGCAGAACATTGAACTAAGAGACATGAAGCCCTATGTGGTCATAAACAAGGTATAAGTCTTTGGACTAGTAATAATCTCTATAAGGGGAAGAACATTTTTAAAATAGGAATATTAGAAGAGACAGTGACTAGCTGTTCCTTAAATTCTGTCTGTGAGGGAATAATTCAATTAATGTACCACTAAATGGAATTATAGATTCTATAAAATTTTTCTATAAGTGACTTAAGTTTCTTAGCCAATCTTCTTATCCATGATAGAGCATTTTCCAGGAGTTCTTCGATAAAGCCCAGGCATGGTAGTCATCATAGGCTATGTTCCAGTCGGCTGCACAATCTGGGGCAACTCTAGTGGACAGACACACATATGCAGCATAATATTGTGGGAAATTCTAGGCAGTGTTTCAGGGCAACCTCAATTCCTAACCCAACTGCCACTTTCTGAGCATGAATGTAGAAAGAACCTGGCCCTCTCACACTTGGTTTACTGTAAAATAAACAGAGCCATCCGGTAATAAAAAGCCCATGGGAAGGATTACAAACACTGGTGCATGGGGGACGTCCTTTATAAAGTCCTTTTGTAAAGATTGATAAAGATGTTGGGTGCATTCGTTTGCAGAAAGTTGCCCTACACTAGGAAAGGCAGGAGTGGGAGGGGGCAGGAATCACAGGTGTGGAGCATTCATTATGTTCTCGGCCAATCATAGAACAGCATGAAGCCAGTTATAGCCAAGGGTGGAGGAGGTTTTCCCGGCACCAGATGAAGCCGACTCAAATGTACCGTGTAGGTTTGAACCCTGCTGCCACTGAGAGCTTTGCTTTTTCACAGCAGTGTGTTAAGTTCTAGGGCTTTCTTAAGGGTATTTTTAAATTGATTAAGTGACCAGGCTTTTATAATCCCATTGGAAGTTCAATAAAAAAAGTAGGTTTCAGAATGGGAAATATATTTTCTAATTTTCAGCCAACTTCCCCCCTTTGGATTTCATCTTTATTAATAACTTGGAAGAAGGGGGAAACAGCCTGTTAATTCACTGATTATGAGTTTACAAAGTGATGTGACAGTTAAAAAGGCCAGAACTATTTAGGGACACCATTGAGAGGCACTGTATCGCAGGACAGAGTTACTATCACTCTTCTGTGTCTGCGGCATCATGGAGATGGCTTATTGGAAGAGAGTGTTCCACTTATGGGTCCCTCTAAACCAGAGAGATTTAGCTCAAATGGAACAAATCTACCAAATATGATGACAGATACAAAAAAAAAAGCATTCATAGAACCGTCTTGTTCTTTTGCCTAGCCTTAGCCCCTTGCTTAGTAGTAAGAATCAGATCGTATCTGCTTTGGGATTCGCAAACCATGTCTGTTCCCTTGCTACCTGGGAAGTGTCCACTACTGCAAACACTGAGAGTCAGTGTAGATAGTTTTTTTTTTCTTAAACTGATTAACTTCTACTCTCATATCTTCATACCTAGTATGACTCTACCACAACACAGTAGGCTGGAAAAGGAACTGCAGGCTGGGCACTGAGAGAAGTGTGTGGACACAAAAGTGAAGGGGGCATGGTTATTCATCGTACAACAGGATTGCCAAACCAATTCAGCTCTAAAACAGAACCAACATTTGTCAAGAATTTGTCCACACAGCTCACAGGCACTGGGGAAGGCTTCCTTCTTGGTATGGTCATGGGGTTGAGGACATAAAGCAAGTCGGTTTGATATCATTTCCTTGTGTTATGTTTACCTCTTCCAACTGCACCATTCCTTGAGAGATCCAAATATGGTTTCAAGAGGGACAGACACTGCCCCCAATAAACCCAGAAAGGCTCACAGACAAGATGGTGGTCTTTATGCATTTGAAAAAAAAAAAAACGATCTTGCAGGGCAGCGGTGGTGCACGCTTTTAATCCCAGCACTAGGGAGGCAGAAGCAGGCGGATCTCTGTGAGTTCGAGGCCAGCCTGGTCTACAAGAGCTAGTTCCAGGACAGGCCTCAAAGCTACAGAGAAACCATGTCTCGGAAAAAACAAAAACAAACAAACAAAAACAAACAATCTTTACATGCCCAGACATAAAAGGGGCCGTGCAAGCATATCTTATGTCTTCCAAACTCAACCCTGGCTCTCCGAGGGCACACAGCACACTTGAGGCGTGCTCCTCTCAAAACAGGTGTTCGCATGAACAGATGATTATGGGGATAACAAGCTGCTTGATCTCTGCTTTGACCCTGAGCACTGTTTTGCTTCCCTTCCCAGAGCCGTTCAGCGCTGACGTGTGGGTGATGATGTTTGTGATGCTGCTCATTGTCTCTGCCGTGGCTGTCTTTGTCTTCGAGTACTTCAGCCCTGTGGGTTACAACAGGTGCCTAGCTGATGGCAGAGGTAAGGCTGCACGGAACTCCTGTGCCTCTGCCTTTTCCCCGCCCCCACTCACAACTCGGAATCATTATATCCATCCTTTGTTACCTGTGGTCTCCCTACTTTCTGTGAGGTTGGGGACCGTTAGCGTGTCAGTGTAGCAATGTTTAAGAAGAAAGATTGATAGTGGAGATGCTTATGACTGGACACTATTTCTAAAGTATAGGTTATGGGCAATTTATTGGGAGAAATATGAGGGAAAAGGCAGACTATGCACACGTAGTAAGAATAAGAAAAATTAGACTGTGCAGAGGGTATATGAAAATTCTTTTGGTCACTGGACCTTCCCATAGTTGAAGGGTTACTACTGAGTTACAGTGTCTCCACATCCTATGTCTTTGGCCCATACACTAACTTAGAAGTACTTCCAGGAGTATAGAAGTAGCATGCTTAAAATAAAAAAGGACACGGAAGGCCAGTTCTCACTTGTAGCTACTATAGCATGGGTCTCATGTCCTGAGTAGGTAGGCATCAACATGGGGAAACTGACCTTGTGTTTGAAGCACTTTTGATACTTTTGAAAACTTCATCAAACTTCTGAAGGAGTCCTGAGAATCTAATAAATAGCTCCTTCAGAACTTCATAAAAGCCCCAGGATTAAGAACTGTGCCGCTTCTTCTAAACCTTTTTCTTTTAGAATTCTAGTTATTCTGGAATATACCTTCAAGAGGACAGCTCCTTAATCTTAGGTCCTAATAAGAATTGCATAACGAGCACTTAAAAGACAAAGGTGCTCGGATCTTGTCTCTGATTTACTAAACCCAGGAAGAAACTTAGACATTGTATGTTTCAAAATAGTGATTATTTACCTTGGTCTTTCTAGAATAGCCAGGTTCACCTTGTATCTGTTTAATAATAACCTCTAGGGTGGTCACCTGGCAACGGTGTTCAATAAACATGCCATTCATGCTTCGGTAAGATTCACAGTCCAATCTTGAGAGCTCCTGCTTTACCAGTGGACTTCCAAGTGCTGACCTACTTATATTTTGTGTGTTCTGAGGTGAAGTTCTACAAGTCTCCATAATATGGTGTGGCCATTGACTCCCCTACCCCATGCGAAAGGCTCGCTAGGAGCAGTGACCTGTATCCAACCTGAGAGGCTCTAGTGTGTGAACCCTCTGAGGATCCCCAAAGTGTAGACAAAGGTCAGCCCTGTTAAAGGCCAAAGATAGAGTATATTGCCCTCTCACCCAGAATACGGAAATTCACATCTCCCAATTCCGTACCAGAACTCACGATTGCTCATGTTGCTTTAGGGTCCTTTTCTTTACAGAAGAGCCCAGCACTGCTCCGCTCAAGTCTCCTTAGGGCACTGCTCAATTTGCAAAAGTCTGCTTTGTGAACAACTTTCTCCTTGCACATCTATTGTATGAAGTCGAGTCCACATGCACAGATGTACGTGCACAGATAGACAACAAGTTCAGCATGGCAGTCCCCGGTGGTGTAGCGGGCTGAGCACATGCTGTCAGCATCGCAGGCAGCGTTCCAAGACCTTTGTTAATCTGTCAGATAACTCTGTGGGCAGACATTCGTTTCTGCAGTAGAAGTGTGGACAAAGATTCAGGTAACACACAAGGTCTTTCCTTCACCAAGCAAGGACAGCAGGCAAGTCACGGATCACTTATGAGCAGAAGCCCTAAGGTCCTATGGACGGACATCTGTCAAGGACAGCCGTGTTTCTGTTCTAGATGCACATGGTCAGAACAAGAGTCACTGGTCTCTTATCTGGGCTTCCTTGTACAGAAGCTGTGGCTGCATTAGAGCAGTTGGGAAGGGCCAGCACTGAAGGGGTTAGGAGAATCAAGGTTATTTTTAAAGACAGCTGCTAAGAGATAGAAAATAAAGAAAATGTAACCAAAAGTACATCTAGCACTGGTGAAACTCAACAAGAAGGTTTATGGCAATAGTAGAAAGGGGCCCCACACAATTCTTGCTAATGTCTTGGAAGTTAAAATACTTCCTTGTTAGATACAATGGTAAATTTTAAGAAAAATGGTCAATGTGACCATATTGGGATAGTTGGTCATTGTTACCCAACTTTCACCCAAAAGATCTTGATGCTCTAATATATGAAGGTGGAAAGAATTTTAGTTGGAAAAAGCTCTTCCCACACCCTAGGACTCTGAATTTGCTTCTAAGAAACCCTCTTCTGCTTTCCTCAGGCTCCCAGGAGAGGCATATGCTCTTGAATTGTAAAGCTCTTGCAGGAACTTTCCAACGCTGGGTACTTGTAGATAGAGATAGATCCAGCGATTCAGGCTTAAATGTTTCTCCCTGTCTTTTGTACCACACTAGAGCCAGGCGGCCCGTCTTTCACCATTGGCAAAGCAATTTGGTTACTCTGGGGTCTGGTGTTCAACAACTCCGTCCCTGTGCAGAACCCAAAGGGGACCACCTCCAAGATCATGGTGTCAGTGTGGGCCTTCTTTGCTGTCATTTTCCTGGCCAGCTACACTGCCAACTTAGCAGCCTTCATGATCCAAGAGGAGTATGTGGACCAGGTTTCTGGCCTGAGCGACAAGAAGGTAAGAAACCCATTTCAGACTTGCGTCTTTCTCGAGCTTGTCCTGAACCCTACTCAACGTTCTCATGAACCTGGTAATTTTCTAAATGTTTAGAATCAACAGCATTTTCTTCAATTGGGACATGGGCATAGAAGCTGGATTCCCTACTGAATTAATACTCCTTCATGCCTGCCTTCTGATTCATAAAGGGCTGCCACAAGGGCGCCCTGGGCTGCAAAATAAGGGGCTTGGTATGCTAGCAGGCTCTCTGAGTACATAGCTGCTCTTGTTGGATACAGTCGGGTGGCCGCTCAGCTCAGGGCTGCCTGTTCGCCGTGTTATTAGAGGCCGCCCCTGTGTACCCACACTGGGGATACCAGAGCTTTTCATCTCATGTTCCTCCCGATGGTGGTTGGATGTGGGTTCTCCCTTTGTTCCTCTGTACACTCACATGTTCCTAGGGCTGAGCGGGAGGGTTGTTCACATTGTATCTCCAAGAGAGGTGCTATTTAATGCATGATTGCCCCTGTGTGGCACAGATGAGTGGGTTGCCCCCGTAACAGTTGCAGTCCTCCCCACCTACCTGGCAGTGGGGAGAGGAAGGGAGGTATCTGCTAGTCTCCATCTTTCCTGCTCTAAATGCTTGGGATCATGTAGGTCAGCCCGAAGCACACCAGTTTCCATGGGAGGTTTGTCCCCTAGACATGCAGCAACCATGACTGTCTGAGACTAGAAAGGCTGTGTTTGCAGAGTCTCTGGGAAAGTTCAAGACCAAAGCAGTTTACATTCTTTCACGTGCAACCGTTTTCCTCTTTTTGTTTTGTTTTTTTTTTTTTTTTAACATTTTGAAAGTTTCACTTTCCGTTCCCACTGCCAGGGCGAAGCCCTGAGATCAAGGCAGTTGTGTTCTCAGGCTGATAGGTAATGCACTGTCACATGGCTGGAGGTCCTCGTGAGAAGGACTCAGGGGACAGTTCCTCCATCCACTCCTCTTCATTCACCTAGAATTCCCAGAAGTGTATGAGAACGAGGGACAGTTCCTTGAGGGAATTGTATGGGTGTCTTTTGTGTGATATGCGTGTCTGTATGTGAGTGTGTGTGCATATGTGTGTGTCTATGTGAGTATCTGTGTGTGAAATAGACAAATACACTATATTCACTGTTTATATGTGACATATTGCATGTTTTTAGTTCATCTGATTTGTCTTTCTTTTTGCTTTATTTTTCTTTAAATTGTTGGATTATTCGCTTTATTTTTATTTAAACTTAATGTTTTCTCTTTCTTGTATGTCCTTCTCCCTTCTTAAAGCATCACATATTGTTCTGACTCATAATTTATGATGTATTTTTTCACATATTCATCCATTTATTACCTGGTTCATTGTTAGACCGAAGCTTCTCTTGCCTATGGTTCTATCAGCAGCATCTATTGTCACTGTCTTGGTTAGGCTTTCCATTGCTGCAATGAAACACCTTGACCATAAAACAAGTTGGGGAGGAAAGGGTTTATTCAGCATTTAACTGTTCATCATCAAACATCAGAGGAAAGTCAGGCTAGGAACTCAAGCAGGGCAGGATTCTGGAGGCAGGAGCTGATGCAGAAGCCATGGAGGGGTGCTGCTTACTGGCTTGCTTCACCTGGCTTGCTTAGCCTGCTTTCTTACAGAACCCAGGACCACCAGCCCAGGGATGGCACCACCCACCATAGGCTGGGCCCTCCCCATTGATCCCTAATTGAGAAAATGCCTTATAGCTGGATCTTAGGGAGATATTTCCTCAACTGTGGCTCCTTTGTCTCTGAGGAGTCTAGCTTGTTGTCAAGTTGACACAAAACCACTCAGTATAGTCATTATGGAACTAATTGAATTTGGGTTAGACAGCTTTATCCCTCCTTGCTACCAACCTCCATCATGGCCTTCACTTGGACTTGATCTAGATCAGGTAGGCCATACCTACCAAAAGTCATGTATGTGCCATGTGTCTCTCAGGGCCCTGCCACCATGTGTCAGACATATGGTTCTGTGTCAGTGTCACCAACAAGAGACCAAATCGTGGGAACATGTCACTATGCATTACCATGGCAAAAGAGTGGTGGGGCACAGACCTTCTGGAGACTGTCAGTTAAAATTTGAAGATAACCTACCATATTTGTCTTATTGTTTCCTTCAAATATCTCTGAAAGTAGCTCCCAACACTTTATTTATCTCTCTAATACCCTAATTTCATCCAGCAACAACTCAGAATAAGTTTCTATTTGAACTAAGAATAGTTGACATGGGGGGGGGGTTCTTTCCCTTATGGCCATCTTAGGCCACTAATAGCAAAGAAAGCATGTGTCTGTCATGCTGTTAGGATTCTAAGAAACTGGACCACATCAGTTCTTTTACAGAAAATAAATGCAGCTACTTCCCCTCTAATGTGGCTTCCATGTTCTTTGTTAATGACTGCCAGTTCTCCAGTATCCCTGGACAATGCTTGCATCCTTCACCATAGGCATCCTTAACTCTTCAGCATTCTTGACCAAGGCTCAATCCAGCATCTGCCTAGAGCATTTCTCTTCCCAGTTTTAACTTACTAAACCCCTACTTAAACCTGACTCAGATTAGAGATCTTTTACTTGGAGAACTCTCCCTAGGTTCATCTGGGCAGCTCAACACTCTCCCTCTTCCATGACAATTATTCAGGCCTTTATTATAAAAAATTTCCATATTCTGTTTGGTAATCTGAAGACTTGTATATAGTAGTATTTCTCTTTGACTGTGAATCCTACAGTCAGTGACATTATTTGGTCATTACTAGGACAAAAAATAAGAGAGTAGAGAGAGACTCTGTGCACTCTGTGTACTTACGAGCCTCCTGTGCCCACAGTGGACACAACACTACAGGAAAGAAAGCCACAACACAGCAGGAGCCTTTCACAACTGCTTAATAGGGAAATGATTGAAAATGGTTATCCAATGTATTTCAGAACGTCACAAGTGACAAAATAGTAAATTATAAGCATCCTAGCAGAAAGTGTCAACATAATCTACATAATTATAGAAAACATTTAAGTAACTAATGACACATGACTGCATATTAGTGTCAGGAACAGTGGTAAAACTCAGAGGAGAGTATTTTGAAAGTGTACTTAAAATGTCAAAATTCACATTAGCATTACTTCAAAACACCTAAAGAAAACAAAATCTTGGAACTGGCATGGGGATACATGTGGGGAAACACATTATTGGAATTTAGAAAAAGGAAAATAATTAGGCATTGAAACAATATTATTGAGATTAGAAATGAGATGATTTGGAAGATTATTTTTTCAAAGGAATCACATTTTCATCAGGGAAAGTAACATTTACAGTAGAGAAGGATTCTGAATCTCATTCGGGCTATCAGATGACATATTGTCTGCATCACTGGAATGGTAAACATCTCCGAGCGACAATGGGAGGATATCAGTAGCTCTGACATTTGTAGCTTAAATAGTCATCAATATTTGGGCAGAAAGACAAGTGCACTGAGATCTCATTTGTTATTGATAAGGGCACCTGCTTCTGTGCTGCTCCTGCTGCATGCCTCCCCTTTGGTTACAGGGCACTGCAGGGAGCCTTGAATGACCACAGGAGGGAATGTGGACACATCTCTGGCAGCCCCACTGTACCCTCCTGGGTGGGAAAGGCCCATAAGCGAGTTAGTGACATCTTTCCCCCCCGAACAATGAGCCCATGGTACTTGTTCTTCCATCTCTCACCTATCCAGATAAACATTCCCGTTCCCTTTTGCTGTCTGCCAATCCTAGCATGAAGGGGAAAGACCTCCACCCACTAGTATTTGCTGGGTACTGGGCACATTATCTTTGCCGCATCTCTGTGTGCCATTTGCATAACCTTTCGTCTAGGTGTGGTTATCCCCATGTCCCATCAGGACACTGCAACTCCAAGATAAGTTGAAACGCCCTGAAGTCACAAATACCAAGTGACAGAGCCAAGGTTTAAGCCCTGCGTATTTAATTCTAGGATGTTTCCCTCATGGGAAATCCCAGGCAAAATTATAACAACTATCAAGATTAATATATTAGTTTTCTTATATAGTTGTGACAAAATAACTAACAAAAAGAACTCAAAGACGGGTTTATTTTGGCTCATGGGAAGGGATGTGACCCACTGTGGTCGCGGAAGCACAGCATTAGAAGTATGAGCTAGCTTGTCGCCCTGCTTCTGCAGTTGGGAGCAGAGACAGACAGAAAGTGCGGCCGATGCTGTGGTGCCTCAAGCCCCACTCCCAATAACTCTCTTCCGCCAGCAAGGCACCGAATAACTAAGAGTCCCAAACCACTGCCACCAGCAGCAGGGGTATATGTTGGAACAAGTGTTCCTATGGGAGCCGTCCCTCATTCTAACCACAACAGTTCTTGCGGCCACTCTTCCTTCTATTCCAGTTAATTCTAATTTAGTCCTCTACCCTTCCGTTAACTAGCTGTTTGGGGTCCACTTAACCCAGGTTATCACAGCGTGCATTTTATCCACCACTGTTGTCACTGCTGCTGGTAAAGACCATCATTGTTGTCATTACTGATGATACTTCAGCAATAACTTGGCTAATACTTTTCTTTTTAGCTCCCTTTAAGCCAGGCATAATGCCAAACACATTGCAGAGACAGTCTTGGGTAATGGTGTCGTTAATATCTTTATTTGTAGATGAAGCAATTGGAGCTTAGAGGTTAAATAACTTGCCCTTATAATATTCTTGGCCAACTATCACTTCCCCCACCAGTGCGCCACACTATTTAGATCTTGATGCTTTTTCTGGTTAATCACCCTTTTCCTGCATCCTTCGTATACCTTATCAAAAATTAACAAGCTCAATCATTTCCCTGTGCTAAAAATTAAGCTCTCTAATTAATTAACTCATAATAATTAGATAGTATTCTAAAATTCATACTTTGTTTGATAAATCTTTCAAAAGGAATCATTTGAATAGACAGTAATAGGGATTTCTAGCGCTTGGGAAGGCTAATGGCTTTCACATCG